GATAAATATATATAAACAAATATATGTATTAATAACAAGAAAGGTTACAAGTTACATGGACAGTTACATGGACAAAGTGCATGTGGTGAATATTATGTGTGTGTTGTGGTGAGTGTTCGTACGTACATGTATTGTTCTTAGCATGTTCCCAGAATTTGGGAAACGCTGTATCTGTGAACGTTCACATCTGCGAGGTGGTAAGGCTGAAAGCCTGAGGAAAAAGAGAAAGAGGCGAAGGGTCAGCGAGTATTTATAGCCAGGGAAGAGAGACCCCTGGTGAAAGGGTTAAGGAGATAAGGAGGAGATAACTTCGATAACATAAATGAATGGAATTGTCCGTTTATGTAAATAAGCGAAGTTGAGGAGAGTTAGCATTAGGTCAATTGCTAAGTGTACCTTCATGTAGGAAATCTTTTATTTTCATTAATTACCTACAAGTTTGTCTTTCTTATTTATTTCCCTCTGTTATCTCGAAAACACAAGATAGATAGATGGATAGATATGAACAGACTGGAATAGATAGATAGATAGATAGATAGATACTGAGTCAGGATTAGGTCAATTGCTAAGTGTACCTTTGAGTAGTAAACCTTCTATTTTCATTAATTACCTACGATTTTTTCTTCCTTATTTATTTCCCTCTGTTATGTTGAAAACAGAAGATACAACACTAGTCAACTTTGATCTTCAAAAACTTAAATGCAATGTCAATCGTTATATTATGTCTTTTTAATTCCTGTTCTTTTGTTTTTCTTTCTCCTTAATTATGTTTTTCTGTTACTCATATTCTTTCACACTCAGTAACCCCTTATATCTTAATAGCTTTATTGTCTTGCTTGGGGTAAAAATGATTAAAAAAAAATCGTGCTCTTATTGTTTGAAACAGAAACATCATTTTAGCACAAGATAGCCATCAGTAAAGAAAAATGAATTTATTGCATGACTTCAAAATGAAGAAAATCATGGCTAGATGCAGTACAGCTTTTGACATTTCAGCTTAAATGAGCAATTCAGAGATCAAAATAGTAGATAAAAAATCATTGTATAAGATTGTGACAGGAGCCAAAATTAACCATGATAAATTCATTGGCCTTTAGTTGGGTTCATGCAGTTGTCTTCTTCTAGATCCTTCCAGTTGAACAGATGGGCCATGCAAATACTTGGCACCTGACTTGATCCTGATTTAAAGCTCCCATTATCCACTCCATTCAAATTCAGAAAACTGAGGAAAAAGACGGAAAGGAATTCACAAGCCTATGTGAAATTTTCTTTGGACCAATAAAAACCTTGTCTTCACAGAAATTAATCAGTGAGCTGAAAAGAAGGAGGAAATAAATTTGTGAGCCTATGTGAAATTGTTTTGGACCAATGAAAATTTTGTCTTCACAGAAAGTAGCCATTGAGCAAAGAAGAAAGAAAAGCAAGTAACGAGCATTTGGAAAATTCTTTTTGATATAAAATGAGGAAAAAAATTAAAATCAATCAGAGAAGAGTTTCTGAAGTCATGTGAAAATTTTTGTTTCAGTTCCTCAGGACCAGAATTCAAGTCCTTGCCAATGTAAAATTATTCATTAATTATATTATCTGCATTTAACCAAGTACGTAGCACTTCAAAGAATTTTCTCTCAACAATCAGAGAAAGCTAAGTATTTCAAACTATCTCTCTTGATTTACTTTTGAATGTATGCAACCATATATCCCTTCTGTAAACAATGAATTCTCTTACATTTGTTTTAAAAATGTTTCAATATTATTTTGTATCAGATCATTTAATCTATTGTGTCAACATTTTTTCTTCATGACAAGTTGTTAAAATTATGGACGTTAAAAATTTCTGATTTATTTTCCTGAAACAAGCTACTGATACAATTTCAAGCTTGTAAATTTGTAAATAAATTCTTTATCTTGTTTTGTTAAAATTGCCTGTGATTTTCTTTGTTATTATCATCCTCCATTAATCTTCTTGGTATGGGTAAATCAACTGTTCATTTTAACCCCATGCCACTATATATCTCTGATGTACTGGCACCTTAACACAAAGGAAGGAAGGACCAGAATAGCTGAATAAATGAATGTCAAATATGCATTGTATGTAAAAGGATTTTATATACAGATACATCATACAATAAATTATATACTGATATACATATATATGTATGATATTTTGCTGAATAATCTTGACATTTTATGTCTATTTATTTCTATTTTAATCCTCTCAAATTCACTGATCAATTTCTTAGTGTTGTTATTAAACTGATTAAGAAAGATGCTGTAGTTTTTCTCATTCCTTTTATTTTCTCCAAGTACTTTCAATGTCATCAAAGATCATCTTCAGGGATGAATTGTCAAAACAAAAAATTAAATAAGTGCACACTCTGTTATAGTCAATTTAAAAATTAATGTTAAGAATATGTAAGGGAGGAAACTTAATTTATATTTTTTTTGTTATTAATGTTTTAAACTACTCAACCTGCAATTTTTAAAAAACAAAAAATTTTTTTACAATTAGAGTATCCCAAAATACTGCCTTTATAGCCATTTTAAACCATTGTTACTATACTCATAATTAATCTTATTTAATGTTGGTTGCATTTTTTTATATAAAGTGCTTCAAGAATTTGAATTTTTTATTTTTCATGGTGGAGTATACTTGTATTGCCAATTAATATTTCTCTAAATTTTTTTTTAAATTGCAGGTTGAGTATTGTAAAACATTAATAATAAAAAAATATAAATTAAGTTACCTCCCTTATTTATCTATCTCACTATATATATATATATATATATATATATATATATATATATATATACCTGTCACTATTTGTCCTATACAGAAAAACTATAATACACATGAATAAATCGAACAGTGTGAAAGGATGAAAATTGAAAAGGTCTTACTTGTAATATTTCCCAGAAGAAAATGACTATGTTGGTGGTGTCTTTTATGTTCCATGTTGGGATCATGTGGTTTCCATTTGTTCTTCTCCTCATCATAGGCATTCACATCTACCTTCCATATGGTCTACATACCAACTAGGATTTGTCACCCTTACAAGCTGACATCACTCACCGGCTGTCACATGATCTTCGTGAATTCATCCTGCCAAAAAAGAGATAACCGCCCACTGCATCCCTACACAATCTTTCCTTGAAGGGAAAAGTAGAAGCGTGAAATTTTTACATCTACATTCTTCATCTTTTACTGAGTATCAGCACTTCTCATGTACTAGACTAATTTAGACAGTTATCTAGCTAGCAAGACATGTTTAAACTCCAAATGTTGGAGGTCATAGAATTCCTATGGTGTGTCACAAAATTTGTAGTTTTCATCTTTCTAAAGATTTTTTATAGATGAAAAATATAGTTACAGTTTCTAAGCTGAATGTGTACACAAGCTCATGATAATGGCAGATTTTGGAAAGAAGCTGCCAGGAAAATTCTGAGAAAAACTTGTCAGCCTGACCAGAATTCAGATAGAATAGTGTACTTATTTTTAAGCTAGTTTAAATTAGTGAGGTAATATATACTTATTGGTGCTTTTTAGTTCTCTACATTACCGTTTCACACTTAATCCTCACCCTCTCCCACATTAACTGATGGAAGGTAAAATTCTTTTGCACAGTGGAAATATTTTATTTACTTTTTTTACATTTTACTTTTCTGCCATATTAGACAGCAAGGTGAGTGATATATACTAACACATTCTTATAAATATAGTTTGCTTCATTTAAATGATCAGGGTAAATTTTTCAATCATAATATATAAATAAATTGTTTTTATTTCTTCACGTGAAAATATGGATTTATTTCAACATTTTTTAAATAAGAATCTTGTGGGAAATTTAATTTAACAACTCCTCAAACTGAGTCATGGCTTGATGAACAAAGTGAGACAATTGAACATTGTAAAAACATACTTTATACAAGAAGCACAATACATAACAAGAAAGAAAATATAAGATTGCTAAAAACGTATTCTTTCAGTGGCTAAAAGTCAAAGCATTGAGGACAAAATCCAAATACATATCTATTTGAAATAGATGATACACTTATCTGAATGGAATTTATATTCTACTTGTATTAGCTGTATTGTCCTTGCATTATTCAGGTTAGGTTGTGCCCAGCATGCCTATTCTTGAGTGGGCTCCAGACACATCTTCTTTCAGATCTTCTCAGTATCTGCCATTGGTGCACAAAATCCTATTTTGTGCCTAATTTTGGGCTATGCTCATTATCATCAGTTTAATAGACTCTTCTCATTATCAGCAGGAGCCATCTACCAAAGGGTGATAGCCTATATTTTTTGTAATCTGACTTATGGGGGAATGTTGCATAAAAGATTTTAAAATAAATGAATGCAATTTAAATGCATCTAAGTTAACACCAACGGTAATTTTTTAAAATATTAGAAAAACATAATTGGCAAAAATGGTATTTTATTCAAGATATTTTTTAAAAATTATTTTTTTTTTGTTGTTGATTGGGTGCCTTGGCATAGGTCCATTGTCAACAAGCTAGTGTTAAAAAAAAAAAAATCAGTAGTGAGTTCGATCCTTACTGCGTATCCCATACTTGTGGCTTCGTGTTAAAACCTAACATTGAATTTTCTTTTCAGTCATTTTTCACGGATGCAAACGCATAGGGTTTCTTCAGAGAATAATTTAAATACTTTCATTTTTAAAAAAAGAGGTTATGTTTTCATTGTTTTTTTTATAAAAATATACATAATTTTCTCGCCTCTTATATTTGTTTTTAAAGCAAAAATTTCACTGTTCACTTAAAAAAAAAAAAAGAAAAAAGAAATACGAATAGGGAGATGGATAATTAAAAATTGGGTTTCATGGCTGTGAAGGGGACTTTATATTATTAGGGTCAGGTTTCTTGTCTCACCGTTTTACAACGAGGTTAACTTTTCATCTCCGGGTTTCATTATTGCTTCGACTGTTGTTTGTTTTTCTTTGCAATTCCAAAATTTGTCTCACTTGTCCTTGGGGAAAAGAATGGGGGAATTGTTCCAAGATTCAGAATTTACCGATGCCTGTCAAGAATTGGATGAACCTCAAGTGGAAGAATGGGAATACTTCACTGAATCACACGGATTAAAAATATACAGACAACTAAACAAAGTGAGTGAAAAAAAAATGAATGAAGACCCCCCCCTCGATAATTCCCACCAATTATAAAATATAAAATAGTGCTTTATTAATTACCATTAAATTAATTAACTGTTATGTTACTTAATCATTTGACTATTATTAATTAATGTAAAAACACTTTAAGATTTGTTCACAGCACGACTATTTTTTATATGGTAAAGTAAAGAAAAGAAAAATGAAAGTAGAGTGTTTCTAAACTTCTAAAAAAAAAAAAAAGAAAAATTAAAAACTGCAGAAAATGATTTCCTAATTTTTACAGTACGTTTTAACAGTAACTATTATTAACAATAATAAAAGAAACACTAAGATTAACAGAGAAAGGCATACAAAACACACATCATAAAAATTAAAATGAATAATAACAATAACATGAAAAGAAAAAATATTGTCCATTCATTGTAAAAAATAAAGAAAATAAAAAGCGGCTTTAGTACTTGACTTTAACTTTAGTTTAATTTTGTGTACTTTTTAAATATTTATTGCCCATTTTTAGTAATTTACTTATTTTTTTAAAACTTTTGACATAAACTTAATAAAAAAAATCCCTACACGGAAAGATGACATTCATTTTAAAACAAAAACATTTTTAATTTTAATAAACACACCTACCAGGTGTGAGTTACTGGTATCATTTTTTTTTTTGTTTGAAAATAATGTTTATTTCGAAATAATTCTTTTTATTTCTTAAATAGATTTTATTTTCGATACCTTTTTTCTTTGTGTCAGGCATATATAATTAAGTTTAATTTTTTCTTTCTATTTTAAAATCACCATTTTTGCAACTAAACACCACATCTGTGAATTATTTTTAGTCTACTAATCCGAACAGTGTTCTTTATTTAAAAACATAAATTTCTTGTACCAGACTGTTATTCACTAAGATGAGATGCGACACATAGTCAGCCTTAGTTTCCATGCGTCAGGGTATGTCCTCTAATTCTTAGCAATAGGGAGGTGCTAACTGGAAGACGAATCCCCAGAAACTAAAAAAATGTCGTAGAGGATGTTGCTTAATAAACCAACAAATCAAATTTAACAATACTCACTTTTTTTTTGTATTCTCATTAGAATGAATGCCAATATAAATCTTCTTTTCAAAAGTGGTCATGAGAAAAAATTTTTGTGTGTATTATTTTGTAAAAGTTACAAAAACAATGGTACCTCGTTGCGTGCATAACACGTAAGTAATGTAACAATTATTGCGGGTCATTTAGAGAGTTCGATCCTCACTGAGTGCCGACAAATTCGAGCTTGTGCAAAAAAGCTCATTCATAAAAAAAATCGAAAAAAAAGTTGTTTTTTTTCTTTGTGATATTGTGATATCATTTTAAAAAGTTAAAGAGTACTATTCTTACACTAATGTTGCCCCACCTTGCACTTTTACACGTACCTTTTTGGAAAGAGATACATAAATTTTAAATTCTAATGTAGTAAATTAAAGAACAAAACAAAACAAAAAGCACACATACAGACATTGCCGATGTAGTGTATATTATTTTTATTTACTTCAATTTAAATAATTAAAATAATTATTTATTTGCCAGACGAAATCTCTGGTAGTGCGATTAACTAAGTTAAAAAAAAAAGTCTTTTTCTTGGGGAGTCTGGTAATATTGCCGCCATGGCTATTATTATTATTATTCCGTCTTTAAAAATGAAACCTAAACAGACTACTTACAATTTGCAGTACTGGATATAATCCAGAAAAACAAAACAAAACAAAAAAAAAGCAAACAAACAAAAAAAATCGGACTTTTATTTTTATTTTTCACGCAACTTTGACCCTTCTCTCCACTGCATAAATTTTTACAACAACAATTGACTATTATTAAGTGCACCATTTGATTATAGAGAATCGTGCCAATTAATTCTTATTTCTTTCTTTATTTTCCTTTCCTTGATCCTGAGGAGAGTGAAAAGAAGTTAGTAAATGACACTTATTTCAATATATCCGTGTCATATAATTAATTTGCTTGCTTGCTTGCTTCTATTATTTGTTTTGTTGTTATTCTAAAAAAAAATAAAAAAATATGACAGCTTTAAAAGAACGTGAAAAAAAACCGTCTTTGTACATAGAACGAAAAAATATATGACAATGCTGAGGTCAGTTTGGTAAAAGATCTTCAAAGGAAATGTAGACACGTAAAAAAGGCTGATTCATTTACCGCCTAACTTTTGTTAACAAAATAAAGAATAAAAATCTTATTCTTATCTATCTGAGACTGTTCCTATCTATTTTTATTTTATCTGAATCTGTTTCTATCTATCTATCTATCTATCTATCATCAGTCTGGAGCAGGGAGGATTCCAGCATGTGGTACCTTTGGAAAGCACCTGAAAACCATACCATGGGTTGACCAAAGCCTTGTGAGTGAAATTGGGTAGACGGAACACTTTGGTCCGTCGATATCTATGCTAGCACGAAGTCGCAAGTCATCGTGACCGAGGGTTTGAGTGTGCTGGTGTTGTTCAGACTGTTGATCATTCTAGATAACACACTCTCTCCCAGAAACTGTAACTAAGGTCTGCTCAACATAGTTGCAGTATAAACCACAGATTGACTCTGTGGGTGTTGAACAAACACAAATGTGCCTGAGCGAGAGTCTGCAATAGGGATTGGCTAGCCGCCCTAGTAGACGGGTATCCTTGAATACAAGTAGCCAGCTATTATATATATATATGACAGGTAACCTTGAATATGAGTGGCCAGCTACTATTATTATTATTATTTATATATATATATATATATATAGGATTCTAGCATATATATATATCTGAGTCTGTTCCTATCCTGCTCATTTCAAGCACTTATCTACTAGGGTGGCTAGCTCATCCCTTTTGCAGGCACATGCTCAGGCATATTTGTGTTTCTTCTGTGATTTATACTGCAACTACACTGAGCAGGCCTTTAGTTACAATTTTCTAGGAGAAAGGCCACAATCTGTTGTGATCAGTAATTAAACAAGATCAATACGCATGAACCTTCATTGATGATAACTTGTGACTTTGTGCTAGCACAGCCATCCGTGGCTTCGAAAAGATCTGTCTTACCAATGCCACTCACAACCATTGGGTCAACCCTTAGGCTGAATTTCAGGCACTTTCTCAGTGGTGCTGCACACTGGGATCATCTCCCCAGGCTCATATTATCAAGAAGTCACATATGTGAGATATCAACCCTGGTGTGATTTGAACCTAGATCTCATGGTATGAATGCTAATCACTTGGCTACGACCACCCTCTATATATATATATATATATATATATATATATATATATATATATATATATATATATATATATATATATCTATCCAAATAAGAGACAGATTTTGTTTCTGATAACTTTATGTCTACTTAAACAAATCAGAATAATTTTATACTTGTTAATACATGTCATTGCCATTTTTAAGCAATCGTTGAATGACATGTCTGTGTGCTAGTTTATTGTGACATGAAAAAATAACCCACCCACCTCCATCCTCTGACCTTATTTTTCTTTTTTAGCATACATCTGACTTTCAATTTGTTAATCTAGACATGCCCACAAGTATATTTTTAATTCTGACCTTATACCTGACTATTTAACTTCTGAAAAGAGCTAATGATTTGTTTTTAAATTTCCCTAATAAATCATTTTTTTATCATCTATCATCACCTGATGAAGTACAATCATAGTATTGAAACATGAAAGCTTTTGTGTGGTTTTATTATAATCCATTACAATAAAATATTATATATATATATATACAATTTTGTACATCAACAAACAGTATTTAGAAAAATATGATAAACTGGAAAGTTTTTTTGTAATACGTTTCATTCATTAGGATTTCATCAAACTGAGCTTTGTTCATGTTGCCACGTCTACACATGTGCATGAAACGAGAAATGTGGGTAGTTTAAAAATTTTTGAAAGAAAATTTTTTTTTTAATCTAGCTGAAATCATCTGTATTCTTTTTTATTTCTCTCTGTCACCTTTGTTAGTGACTGTCCCACAATGTGGCAATATAAAATCTACCAAGAATCATGATATATTGTAAGAGCCTGAATGCAAATTTATTGTGGCTGAACTAGCGATCAAGGCACTGAAGCAAAAATGTCTGGAAAGTGCCTTGATCTTGATATATATATATATATACACATTAGGGTTATGAATTTTTTGTAACCCTATGTTCCTGTGTCACAAATCTATGAACTTTTGTTAAAAAAATAATGAAAAAGGAACTAATTTGTGTCAGTTCTTAAAAAAACGTCACCCACAAACAGAAAATTCAATTTTTTTTTTTAAAAGGATGAAATGGAACTAATGTCTTTAATTTAATTACAAAATTAAATTCATAGCTTTTAGCTTCCACTTTTGAACATGGTTAGAACTGTGTAGCGAAAAAAAAACATATTTTAAATAAATCAATTTATAATATATATATATATATATATATATATATATATATAACAAACAAAAGTTCATTGAATTATAATACAGGCAATTATTTCACAAAAGTCAATCCTGTGTGTATATATATATATATATATATATATATATATATATATACACATAGGGTTATAACTTTTTGTAAAATAATTGATTTCCTGTATCATAATTCAATGAACTTTTGTTCATTGTTATATATATATATATATATATATACATACTTAAAATTAGGAAATCAGTTAAATCCGTTACTTTGGTTTCAACCTGATGGTATCCTCAGGTTATTTTTTATCAATTGATCCTCCCAATGTTTATTTTTTAAAAATCTAATGCTATATTATTTAAAAAAAAAATAAATGAACAAATGCATAACGTTGAGTGTGATAGAAAGAGGGTAGGAGAAGGATATGAAGAAGGAAGGAGAAGAAGAAGAACAATGGGTAGGTGAAGAAAAGCAAGGGTATTACAAATGTATCAGTGGTGGGTTAATTGAAATCTACATACTTTTTTATCCAGCCTCATATGAGCTTAAGAGGAATTTATGTATGCAATGGCTCATGATTTCAGATCTCTGGTTCAAAAGGTTATTTGGATCTGGAAATGTCATTATTGCTATTTTTTCCTGCTGGCAGAGGTTGCAATTATTATTGTGGGTGTTATAAGGCTTCACTTTCTATTAGATGAAGCCGTAGCAATAATCTATAAAGCAGCAGTAATAGATATTAATGGCCAGAATAAAAAGTACATAGGCTGTACTGAAGGTACTTTCAAACATAGATGGTACAATCATAGGTCATCATTCAAGCTAGTAAGTCTTAGGTGCTTTACCAAATTAGTTAACTATGTGTGGAATTTGAAAGAAAAAACAACAGGGATCCGATTGTAAGCTAAAAAATTTCATTAGGTTTTTTTTTCTTTTAAATAAAACATTGGGAGGTGAATTGATAAAAAATCGCCTGAGGATACTGTAAGGTTGAAACCAAGGTAGTGGATTCAGCTGATCTCCTAATTTCTAAAGTTAAAAGTTCTACATGTTATATTTTATTTTTATTTTATTGACCACTTTTAAATACTACTGTTTCTTGGTCTAATTCAACTCTGATAATTAACCTTATATATATATATATATATATATATATATATATATATATATATATATATATATATATAAATTATTAAAAAAAAAATGAAAATAACACTGACATCTCATTTTAATATATTTATCAAAATTACACAAAAATGTCTAGAAATACTAAAGAGTAAATTTATTCAATAAAATTGCCATTGACTTCAACTACAGTCTTCAGACAATGTTGGAATCTCCCACAACTCTTCTGGACGATCTCCTTGCTTAAGTTGGTGAATGCTTTCATAATCCTTGCCTTCAATTCATCTTTGGTGTTACAAGGAGTTTTTTTCTTTATCTCTCACTCAACTGTGCACCATACATAATAGTAAATGGGGTTGCAGTCTGTTGAGTTAGGTGGCCAGATGTAAGGGGTGATGTGGTCACAGAAATTGTATGACAGCCATGATTGGGTTTTCCTGCTTGTGTAGCATGGTGCAGAGTCCTGTTGCCAGACATAGGGTCTTCCAGCAACCACCCTCTTGACCCGGGGCAGCACTACCCCCTCAAACCACTTGATATAGATCTCCATGTTGAGTCTGAGGCCCTCACCAACAAATTCAGGAGTTCTTTTCTTATCAGAATGAGTTTTCTGAGCTGCCATACCTTTGTAATCACCATTAGACTCCTCCAACTCTTTCTGAATTCTCTGCACTGTCCTCAGATTGACACCCAAACACTGTTCATATTGGAGCTTCCGGTGCAAATACCAAGCAGTACAGCATACCGTTTCCAAATTTCTGGTACAGTGAATTGTGTCATGGTGCTCTTTTTCTCACAGTGCCCAACTGACCCTCCTATACAGTGCAGTTGACAAGGTAAAAAAACAAACAAGTATGCGTGAAATTATAAATATAAAATGGCGACAATTTACCCATCGCACCCGTTATATATATATATGAGAGAGAGAGAGAGCAACATATTTTAGATATAATTTTACCTGTAATGTATAAGGATGAGATTGTGCTATATCATCTCAATTTTTTTTTTTATTAATAAAGTATTGTCAAGCATTATTAATTTTTTCATCTTAATTCCAGTTATTTTCTTTACATTAGTATTAGTCATAGTATTATCTTGAATTTTATTATTAGATGAAACATTGACAGTCATTATTAAGTGTTTACTAGTATTTCTCTCATCTTAATTTCACTTTCTTTATTTACACTACTAGTAGGACAGAAAAGTTCTAGGCCCCACCCACATCTCAAAATCTTACCAAATAACCAAACATCAAACTGCATTTTTTAATCCCTCTTGGTTGAGATGAGTACTTTTCTGCACCACCTCATAACATTACAGCTATACCTTGAGTTACGTCATTTCAAGTTAAGTCATTCTCGAATTTGTCAAAAAAAATATGGAAAAATAAAAAATAAGTTTAAGTCATTTTATTTGATTTTATGTCTGTCCGCTACAAATACTGAAGTCATAATATCACTAGAAAAGCGTTATTTTATAATGTCTTAGAGAAAACCACATTCACAAATAAAGAGTCCGCAATGTATTGTAAAGATCACCAAATTGTAAACATCTACATTTTACAAGTATGTATGTAAATTTAGATTGCTTTTTTTTCTGTACTAGATTAAAAACTAAATTTCATTTGTTTGTAAGCTTAAAATAGATTCTTATTGACCATATATTAAAAATGTACTTATAAATAAAATACAGAACTGGGAATGGTTATTTGTGGATTAGCCTAGTGACAAATTTGGAGACAAGTAAATTCGACTTATGTCATTTTTTGACTTAAGTCTCCTCTCCTGGAACAAATTGCTGATGTAAGGTGGAGGTATACCTGTATCTGGAATTTTTATTAGAATAGACCATTGATTTGTCAACCATAGGATTTCTTTCACTTTCATTTTAATTTTTTTATTTACATGAGCAGTCGTCATATTATCTTACGTTATTATAAGATGAAGCACAATTAATTTTGAATAATATTTCATCTTGATTTTACTTGCTTTATTTTCACTAGCAGTATCAGTAGTAGTAATATTTTGAATTTTAATATTAGATGAAACATTGTGAATCATTAAAATTATTTGCTAGTATATATTACATTCTATTGGTGCACCTTGAAGCAATGTAATGGTTAGTAAGCGTGTCTCACTAGAACAATTACGACTAAATAGTGAGTTTGATCCTCACTGGTTGCCCCATACTTTTGGCCTTGTGCCACATCTAAGCTACACTTGGAAAATCACTATATTACATTCTATTGTTAGTTTTCAGTTTGAATTTCTAGGATGAGGAGTTATCACTATTTACATTATATTTGAACCTTTGTCCTCATGTCTCTTATTGTTTTGGCCATTACGCTCCCTGGCTTTCATCAGGTGTATCGATCTGGGTAGCCTACAGGGGATTATGAACTGAATGAACCCTTTATTTAATTTACAAGGGTAGACTGTTCTTGTTCCACTGCCCATGACTAGGGATATCTCATATAGTTCTTACTTTTAGTACTGCTCAATTATTGCCTGCTTTGGGTAAAGGCAAACATTTCCTGGCCCAGGGATTGAACTCATGAACCAATGTTTTAAGCCACTATTGGTTTGTGAATTTGGTGACATAGTAATTGTGAGTTCAATCCCTGGGCCAGGCAGTCTGTACTTGGACTCAATGGAAACAGAGCAAGCAATAACTGAGCAGTACTAAAAATAAGAACTAGATGAGATATCTGTAGATATTGGCAGTGGAATGAGAATAGTCTGGCTCTGTTGATTAAATAAAGGGTTCATTTTGGAATTTCTTCTAGGTTATATTGATATATACCTGATGAAAGCTGGAGGGTACAATTGCCGAAATGTAATAACAACAATAATAACAAAGATAAGGACAATAGTCCATATGTAAATAGTTACTTTTCATTGTGACTACTGAAACCTTTATTAGTATGACTCAGAAATAAAGTATAAATTGATGGTGAGTTTGTGTTTACTAACAGTTGCAGAATGATGTTTGAATATTTGAAATGAAAAGCAACTAAAATCGACTGTAATCTATCCTCACCAACGATTAATAATGGTTACTCGTGTTACATGTTGTTTTTATTACTTAAACATTATTTTTAGTGGATACTCATATTTGAGTAGATGTTTCGTTTATTTACTAAACGGTGTATTTATTTATTTTTGTCTACCAGCCTGAATATCCGAGAAATCTTATTAGAGAAATATGAAATCTCTGGCAGGATTTGAACTTGCGTTTCCCTAGGGAAAACCGTCATTAGATCTGACATGCTTTGACCTCTCGGCTACAGTGTGCATCGATGACCAAGCAAAGTTGAGTCTCTGCATCTTGAAATATACATATCTGCTCAGTTTTGTATCCTAATGTAAACAAAGCAATTTGTAAAGAAAGGGATGAATTTTTTATTTATTAATCTGACAGATTTTTTATTACTTAGCGTTAATTTTTAGTGGATACTCAGAATGTTTAAGTAATAAAAATCTGTTGGATTAATAAATAAAAAATCCATCCCTTTCTTTATGTGCTGTGTAAATAAAAATTATTTTGAATAATTTTCTGCTTATTTTATTTTGCAGACCTCAGGACTTTACCAGTATAAAGTCTATGGAACAATGACAGAAATTGATGCTGAAATATGTTCTAAGGTCTACATGGATCTTGATTATCGAAAGACATGGGATAGTTATGTGCATGGTGAGTCCTACAACTTGAACTCTTGGGTGGCTACAAACCCCTGGGATCAATTACAGCATCTGGGTTTAAAGTATTTTAATTTTAAAGCATTTTACACTATTTACATTGTTTGGACTGTTGCTCTCATCTTTGTTGTCATATTCACGTTTCAGCCATTGTATGCTTCAGTCATCTTCAGGTGATTGGAATTTTGAACCAAATCCTTTTTGTCCACTGGGGTATATTGTTCTAGTTCCATGTGCCATGCCTCTTCCGAATATCTCAGTTTCAGTTATTTCCCTTAGTAACTGAACTGTCTAAGTTTTTGTTCACTCCATGGCCCAGTGGATAAAAGTGTTGGTTGAAGTAATTCAATGACTTGACTTAAAAGAGTTATGAGTTCAATACCTGGCCACAGCAGAGGTGAACAAAAATCTTGGAGAGTTGAGTTACTAAGGGAAATAACTGAAACTGAGATATCTGTAAGAGGCATGGCACATGGAACTAGAATAATCAACCGAATAAATAATGTGTTCGGTTAGAAATTCCAATCACCTGAAGAAGGCCAGAGCATACAACAGCCAAAATGTTGTGAATATGACAACAATGATGAGGACAACAGTCCGAACAATGTAAATAGTGTAAATAGTTACCATATCTCATCTCAAACTTATAGACAGATTCTGAAGAAGGCTGGAATGTACAACGGTCGAAATGTCGTGAATATGACAATAATGATGAGGACAACAGTCTGAACAATATAAATAGTGTAAATAGTTACAATACCTCATCTCAGAAATATAGAGAGATATTAAAATATTTTTATTTTAATTTCTTTGCAAACTGTGTAAATGCTTAATATACCAATGTCTATTGTAAATATAATATGAAACATATTTGTCAGTAGCATTTCTAATTTAATTGTGATATCAGGATAATGGTGTATTTGCCTTCAGAAGAACATCAATTTAAAAACAAAAATAAAAAGTAGTCTTTTCCATTGTACTAAGAGGATTAGGTTCAGAAGTAAACCCTGATGTCTTTGACATCAAATAATCTAAAATATCTTTGATGAAAGCCATTTATAAAATACCGTTTATCATATTTGGATGGGTGACAGTTCCTCATCTCACTAGGTGAGGTAAGCCACAACAAAAACCTATAGTCATAAGACCTTATTGCCAACATCCAACTAAGCAGATCTATGGTACATAAACCTCTGGCTTAACCCTTTAGCATCCGACCCTACCCCGTAAATATTGGCACTCATCCTTTGTAATCTGTTCCATGTATACTCTGCCATAATATATGACATCATCATCACAAATAATGCAGGAAGTCAAGCAGTAAGACTTTGACTAAAAACAGTGTGACTTTGAAAGCTGATATATACTGAACAGGTTTGAGCATGTTGAAGGATAAAGGGTTAAATCTGTTTATCTCTCTTTTTATCTCAATCTATTCATATTTCTCTATATAATCTATCTATATCAGCATGTTTACATTCCTTTTTCTCTGTCTCTCGCTATATATATATATATATATATATATATATCTTTTCTCTCTCTCTCAGTCTGTCACTGCTCAATCTGCTATAACCCACCCCATGTATGCTTTGCCATAATATATGACAACATCATCACGAATAATGCAGGAAGTCGAGCAGTGACAGTGAGATTTTGAGAGTTGATATTTATGGGTTGTGGTTTGAGCATGTTGAATGTTACAAAGTTAAAGGCAGACATGACTATTCATCACTAGCACAGGCCTGAGTATTATTCCATTTGTCTTATATATGTAGAACAATTTATAATTTTTCAATTTGCTAATGATATTATTGCATACTACTTATGTATTTTTTAACGCATTTAACAATTTATAGCTATAACGTAACATACAACTTTACAAATAAACAAAAATTGCAAACTTGCAGAAGCTTTATTTTTCAATATGCTAATGATGTAATTGGATAGCACTTATGTATTTTTAACGCATTTAACAGTATATACACTATTTATATTTGGACTATTGTCCTCATCTTTGTTGCTTTTATCACAACATTTCAGCTGTTGTGCCCTCTGGCCTTGTTCAGGTGTATATCAATCTGGGTAACCTACAGGGAATTCTGAACTGAGCCCTTTATTTAATCTATTGAGGCAGACTGTTCTCATTCCACTACCCACATCTAGAGATAGTTCTTACTTTTAGTACTATTCAGTTATTGCTTGCCCTGGGTTCACACTTCCCAGCCCAGGGATTGAACTCATGAATCAATATTTTAATCCACTATTGGTATGTGAATTTGGTGACATAGTAATTGTGAGTTCAATCCCTGGTCAGAATAATAATGCAGGACATCACACAGTGAGATTTTGAGAGCCGATATTTACAAGGCGAGGTTTGAGAATGTTGAATGGAATGCTAAAGTGTTAAAGGCTATGGTCTGTAATGCAGATACAATTCTTCATGACGAGCACAGGCCTGAGGATTATTCCACTTGTCTTGTATATAATGTGGAACAATGTATAACAGTCATGGAGAATCTTAAATCTACATTTGTGAAGTTAAACAATGAATATGGGAAAGTAGTTAACTGAACCCAGACAGTTCTTGAGTTCAATTTTTGGTGCTAGGTATATATTGTAACCTAGAAAAGGTTACTGAATGAGGAACAACCCAAACGGGGGTTGGAAATGAAATGGAAATCTTTATAACATCAACAAAATAAAATACTCGCCATTGTTATTAGACACTTTTTTTAGGAATACAAAAATTAATTTCATTCTGCAGCACTAAAACTCTCTATGTAATCAAATATGAGGAGCTTACATGGACTAAATAGATAAGTGTATATTTGCTACTGCTATTAGTGATTGGTATATAAGCCTAGGTAAATCAAGTCAGCTAGGCTCTCCTCTCTTGAAAGTTTGGCACTACACAATCTTCCAACTGTATTTCCCTCATATTTATCCTCATGCTAAATTAAGCATCAAACATTCCACACGTTATTCAGACAACACTTTGTTAGATTTTATTATGCAAGTCAAAATAGAATTGGTATTAACCAATGCTGGTAAAAAGTTTAGGAAATATTTATATAAGCAAAATATATTACATGATTATAACTTGTATATTGTTACACTATGAGTTGGATATATGCGCACGCGTGTGTGTGTGTGTGCGCCCGCACATCTGTGTGTGTATATATACACCCACACATCTGTGTGTGCGTGCGCACGCACACATATGTGCGAGAAGATTAGTTAGATTTGACCTGGGTATCAAACTTCAAGACCCAATGACTAGATTAGGAATCTAGATAAAAACTTGTTTTGGACATATGGCCAAAAGGGTAGATAAGTGTTAAGTACTTGTCAAAATACAAAGATAGTTAAAAGACCGGCTCTGGTCAAAACTTAAAAGGGTCTGAATTTAATGTCCCTGAATTGGAGTCAGCTAGGCTAAGAAATATTTTTATGTCCACTTTCTTCAAAGGGAGAAATGGTTATGAAAAAGTTATGGGTTTATTTGTGGGTGTCCCTTGCCCGGAAATGATGAAAGAGGACTCTGCATATATACGGGAGCACTTTGGGTTTCACCAGAGGGAGACTTAGTTTAGGTTCGAGGAAGGTTGATTCAGGCCGGAGCAAGTAACAACGGAGAGTGACACATTAGCAGCCGGACATTGTTAGTTAAGATATATTATTTTTTTTGCCAGCCGAGAATCAGCCCAGAGTTAATTATCCACAAAAGGTCACACGCCCTCCCTCCTCTTTTCATCCTACCCAAGTTTGTAGTTGTGTTTTTCTTTTGCCTGTGAGCCTGCCTCTCGCTCGATCCGCCACACAGAAATTCTACGACGTGGGGTCAATATCTTTGTGCAACGAGTTGCAGAGGTGGGTAGCTTCACAATATATATACTAGAATTTTTGCAACATGCTTATCACTAACATTTTTTGTTGAGATTTACAAACACTGCTTTACATTCAATTTCACAAACCAATCAATGTAATTTGAATAAGCTGATTTGTTTTAAAAAATACTTTGACAAAAACCCTATTTAGTGGTTTAATAATTTATATGACTTCATCATAAACAATATTTAGTGTTTAAAAAATTTCTTTTTTAACAGCGAAGAATAAATTCTTAGGATTTCTTACTCTTAAGCATGCAACATACAATTGGCTAAGCATAAATATTTCTTTAGAAAATATTTATATAAGCAAAATGTATTATGTGGTTTTAACTTATATATATACTAGAATATTTGCGACATGCATGTTGAAATCCTCATAGTATTTAGTTGAAGTTATCGGTAACATTTTTTTGTCAAGATTTACAAACTCTACATTTTGTTCAATAAAAAAATTAATTTTTCCAATAAAATTAATGAAAGTTTATTGTACTAAGCTATGCACCCAAAGTAAAATCAACTGTACTTTGTACCCACTTACTTGCTTGCAGTTCTCCCCAAAATCTGGTTTTGATCAGTTAATGTATGACTATTTTAGAGGGTGTACTGTATGGACAGATGAACTAACAGAAGTCACAGAATTTTATAAATAGATATATATATATATATATATATATATATATATTTAATCTTATCACCCCATGCAAGGTAGTAAAGCCACTAAGATATAAAGGGTTTCTGAGTCTGAAAGAATAAGAAAAAAGAGAAACATTATTAAGGAGTGATAATAATAAAAGAAGAGGAATCAAGAAGACAGTAGATAACGTTTGACATTGTGTTTAAATTTTTGAAGATCAAAGTTTACTGGAAAGCAAGAAGCCAGAAGAGAGTTCCACAAGTGAGAATTGCAAGAAAAAAACTGTTAGCATAGAACTTATGCTTACATCTAGTCGGTTCAACTGTGAATTGATGAGACCTTGCCATCAATCTAGTACTGTGCTTAAAATCATAAAGTCTCTGTACCATAGTGAAGAGATCATCTGAAAAATTACACAGGGAAGCTACATTATAGTGGTGAGAAAGTGACTGAAGCCAAGATGTCAGGTCAGGACTATTAATATTGCTGATTCTTCCAGGGCTCTGGAGTTGGAGTCTGAGTTGGAAGCAATTAAGGGGTTGCTGGAGTCAGTAAAACTATACCAACTCCGTTTCCAGTTGAATTTACATATTATGTAAAAAGTCTTACATTATAGAATTTTTGTGTTTATAGTTATTTCTTCTATATCCTTTCAAAGATTTTGTCTCTAATTCTGTTAGAAAATACTGAATAATGAATAGGTATGATATAAAAGCTACAATATCTTTATTCTTTGATATAAACCAATTATAATGATATAGGCCTACTCAAGTTAGGAGCATATGCATAGGCTTTATGATATTTTCATGCCATAATCACTTAATTTTAGATAAAGAGGAGTCAAAGGTGCCAAAAATAGTGTCAAAGTTTTTGTGTTCCAACTCCACAGCCCTGGATTCTTCTTTTGATTTTATCAAGAATTTCCTGATATACAGCAGGATAGCCAGAGCATTTGGCGGAAATATTCAAAGCAAGGACAAATAGTAAACATATAAATATGTAAGATAGATTGTGTGGACAAAAATTGTCTAGCATGACAAGTGAACCAACTTTCTTAGCAGCAGACTTAGCCATAGATTCAATATAATTGTTCCACTTCATATCAGCTGAAAATGTAAGCCTGAGAAGGTGCAATGAGTCACTCTCATGATGGTTAGCATCAGCCATGCTGATGGGAGGCAGGAAGGTGTGTGTATATACACACACACACACACATATATATATATATATATATATATATAATAAAAAGGCTTAAACACTAATATTCCATGGTTATAATTTATTCTATTGGAATCATAAATACGATCCAATTCATCAGACCTACAAATTCAAAAAGAAAACAGTTAGGTCTGATGAATTGGATTGTATTTACGATTCCAATGGAGTAAATTATGACCATGGAATATTAGTGTTTAAACCTTTTTACTATATCCTTACTCTGTCCTGGACATTGAGTTCTACCTGGATTCTATCCTCTTGGAATTTTTATTCAAAAAATATACATGTATGGGTATTTATATATTTTGCATATGTATGTATATTTACCACTAATATTATCTATCTATCTATCTATCTATATATATATATATATATATATATATATATATATATATATATATATATATATATACACACACACACACCTTTGGAAAGTGTCTGAAAACCATACCACATGTTGACCCAAGCCTTGTGAGTGAAATTGGGTAGACAGAACACTTGGGGGACCATCGATAGCTGTGCTAGGACTAAGTCACAAGTCATCATGACTTGAGTATGCTGGCCTTGTTCAGATTGTTAATCACACTAGATAACATGCTCTCTCCTAGAAACTATAACTAAGGTCTGATCAACATAGTTGCAGTATCAACCACAGGTTGGTTCTGTGGGTGTTGAACAAACACAAATGTGCCTGAGAAGGAGTCTGCAACAGGGATTGGTTAGCTGCCCTAGTAGACGGGTATCTTCGAATATGAGTAGCCAGCTATTTATATATGTGCGTGTGTGTGTAATATTATAAAAACTAGTTTTTGGATATCAGATTTGATTATGTAAAGTCTGTGTAAATTTTTATTTATACATAAATTTTTAAAAATATAAGCTATATAAACATATTGATTGACACAATTTCTTAAAATAAACCATTTTCTTATTTTACATGGTAATATAGACTCCTTGATATTCAATAATCATTATTTTTTTATGTTTTAATCATCATACTTTTCTGGGGAGGAGGGTGCCTAGACAATCAGCAGGATTAAAAATGAGACCTGTCAAAGGGTGGATGAACCTTTTTGTCAGGGTCAGTGGCAACAGGATAGATTGGGCTGCTTATACAATGATGACATGGCATAGCTGGGTGTAGAGCTTGTTAGACATAAGTCAAAGGCCAGGGCAGATGGTTCAACAACCACATGTCCATGACCAAAGCAAGTCTTCAAGTTGGAGGACATCAGCTGTGGTTTGACCTGAAGAAGGTCTTCTTGCCTCACATACATTTCACATGAATGAATACCTCTTTGGAGAGAACAGGTCAAGTGCTCACCTGTGCAGTGACCCTGTGACAACAACTGGTCATAGGACTGATGAAGAAGAAGTACCAAATGGTATTAACATTGGTTAGTTAATACCAGTTTTACTGAAAAAACATTAATTTGTATAATAAAATCCGATAGTTTAATACCGTCATCTTGGTTTCATTTATCAAAGCACTTCAAAGAAGATATTCTTTGTTTTTTCTTAACTATATCTGATAATTCTTGAATATTATCTGCTATTTTCCCTTTTAGCTTGTTTCAGTGATAAAGCCTCATGCTGAAAAAAAGTGAGATTTAGGAGTTGGGGCAATGAAGCATACATTCAAGGTTTGTTGAATTCAACATACTATACTGGGGAAAAAATGTTTTAATAAATAAGAAAGCTGAAGTTATTAGTCCAGATAATTTGCAGATCAGAATTTAAAAAACAAAAACAAAATGGATGTTATATAATCAGTAACCTCTTTTCTTTAGTCCACTTTTCTTTTCTTTTTTTTTTACTTTTAACAAATATAACATTTGACCCCTGATTGAACATCCTGTGTGGTTAATTGATGCTGGATTAGTAGCAGTTAATTTCAATGATATGTCTTGAAAAATATCTTGGGGTAAGCCAATGACAGCCATGCTCTCAGATGAAACTGAATAATTTTCATTAATTTAATACATAAATATAAAATAGTACTATAAAATATTATCTTACCAAATGAAACTTAATTGAATTCCGCTTTTACTGAATCAGCAGTAGTTGCTACTGACTACTTGATGCTCTGTGTACTGCCTGACTTTAATCTTTCTCCAGATTTAATGTTTCATCTGAAATTGTCATTCTGTTGCAGAAAGAGATTGATTCAAATTAAATTTTGCATATCAGAGATTTTCAATGGCAAATGTCTTCTTACAAGCTTCAACTTCTCATTACAGCTGTAAAGTGTAGTTTATTACTATAAGTCACTCAAAAGTGTTTTATAGTTTGGTTTGTTTTACAGCACATCAATCTCAATGGGTTATTTAATGCCAACAAAATTTTCCAAAAATCTATTTCTGGTAATATTTTTTTCCTTCAAAAATCTATTTCTGGTAATATTTTTTTCCTTCAAAAATCTATTTCTGGTAAGAATTTTCCTTCACTGGTAATATTTTTTTTTAAAGATGTAGTGCTGGTAATATTTGTTTTTCAAAAATGTATTGCTGGTAATAATTTTTTTTTTACAAAGGATTTCTGGTATTAAAACCTATTTTTACACTTTTATAGTGTTTTGATCCAAGTTTGGGGGTTAGCTATTTACCCATAGCTGGGATCCTAACAGGTGCTACCACCCCAGGTAAGGGTGGACCTGGGACCAACAGCATTTAAGAGGTGGTTCCATGCTCCTCAAAACCTCCTGATCAGACACCTTGCTGTTGGACGTAGTTTATCGTCTTACCCAGGACCCAGATTTAGTTTATCGTCTTACCCAGGACCCAGATTTAGTTTATCGTCTTACCCAGGACCCAGATTTAGTTTATCGTCTTACCCAGGACCCAGATTTAGTTTATCGTCTTACCCAGGACCTGGATACAGTTTATCGTCATACCCAGGACCTGGATGTAGTTTATCCTCATACCCAGGATGGTGTTTTACAGTACAGTTGAAATAAATAATAAGCATAAGTATATTTAATTTTGTATAGAATAATTTTTACAGATGTCATATATGAATAAAAGGTGTCACTGCTGACACCAGAGTTTGATTGTGAATCTCTAGACAATGAAAATGTAGACAACTATTTGCTATAGAGATATCATGCCACTGGCTGGTGATTACAATTACGTGTTGACTATTGTGTTAATCCAGACGTTAAAGTCAAGTGTCCCATGTTTAAAGATGAATTAGTACTTTTCTTAGCAGCTTTATGAAGTGATGTATTAATGGATAAGTAATCAATAATCTTTCTGTTGACTCTTTACTTCTTTGTTAATGTATTTTAATTGCATTTGGTAATTAAATAATTTATTATTTTAGATTGAAGTCTTTCTGTTATTACTTGTATTACGTATCATGATGGATTACAAAAACAGGTTAATTTATGCATATTTTGCTTTTTAGGAATGCTTGCCACTCTTTGACTTGTATTAATATATTTTTTTTAATTTCTGTTTTCAGAATTATATGAGAAAGAAGTTTCTGGAAAGAAATTTATCTATTGGGATGTGAAGTTTCCAAAGCCAATGTCCTACAGGGATGTATCCTTTGATTCCTTCATTTTGTTTTTTATACTTTGGCATTTATCAACTGCATAAAATCCACTTAGTGGGTGCATGCTGTAGAGATGGTCAATAATCTAGTTTTGTAAGCAATTTGTAGTAAATCAAGAGTTCACTGGGTATTCAATTGTAAAGGCTTTCTACCAGACTAAGATTAATGTATCCAAGGTTGATGAGAATGAAGCTGCTTTCTATATAGCAATGGTGAGCAAAGCTTGTTTGGGTAATTTGCAGTGTAATCCCAGTGTTCACTATCTAATAAAAATTTCCCAAATAGTTACATTTAGGTGTAAATTTACATGCTTAATTTGGAAATAACAAAGAAATTTTGCTGAAATCTATCATTTTGGAGTTATCATACTTATTATAAAACCCAGGTTCTGTGTGTGTGTGTGTGTGTGTGTGTGTGTGACTGTTCGTTTATATATTGGATCGGATTTCCTACATTTTTCAACTGATTTCAACAAAACTTCACAGAACTACGTAAAATTACCTTGTGGTGGTTCTGACAGTGCCAAAAATTGGAAAAACACAATTGTTTTTGCACGAAATCAATTTGAAAACACAATTAAGAGGCATTGCAAGAATGAAAAGGAGACAACTCATATCGAGTTATACTTATTATAAAACCCAAGTTGTTTATTTGTGTGTTTGTTTATATATGGGATCGGATTTCCAACATTTTTCAACCTATTTCAACAAAACTTCACTTTTTTTTTTTTGGCAGGTAGTGTTTCTTATTGTCTTGCACACTTTTTTCTTTATTTTTACATTCAGAATGCTTTAAAAATTCCATTTACAAGACAATTGTTTATAATAAAATTCTATTCAATCGGTAGACTCATAACGATTGAAAACAATGTTTTTTTTTGGTTTGACCAATTCGTAAAAAAAAAAAAAAAAAAAAACTAATTAAGACATGCGTGTCCATCAACCATAAACAATAATCTTTGTCAATTTTATTTTTCAGTCTTTATGATGGTTGATATTTGATCTATCTCTTACTGTTACATCCCCGGGCAACGCCGGGCTCTACTGTTAGTCAATAATAAAATTTCAGACTCATTCATGTTGTTTACATAGATTTGCCTTGAAGTAGTTATGCGGGGAAGTTTCACTTATCTTGATTATTGCACACTCAATGTGCAAACTTTGCACGAAATTTAAAAAGGACATGATTATTTATGAAATAAAAAAAATGCTAGACAGGAAGTAATAATAACAAGAACAAATTTAAGGTTCAAATTTTTTTTTATTAAATTTTGGAGTTTTACAAAGCATGATTATTAAGTACCTTAAAATAAGATTTCGTTAGTATTACAATTTGTTTTATTATTTACTAGCAGTAGAGCCCGGCGTTGCCCGGGGATGTAACAGTAAGAGATAGATCAAGTATCGACCATCATAAAGACTGAAAAATAAAATTGACAAAGATTATTGTTTAAGGTTGACGGACACGCATGTCTTAATTAGTTTTTTTTTTTTTTTTTTAAGAATTGGTCAAACCCAAATTCAAACAAAAACATTGTTTACAATCGTTATGAGTCTATCGATTGGTGAATAGAATTTTATTATAAACAATTGTCTTGTATATGGAATTTTAAAGCATTCTGAATGTAAAAATAAAGAAAAAAGTGTGCAAGACAATAAGAAAAAACTACCCCAAAAAAAAAGTGAAGTTTTGTTGAAATCGGTTGAAAAATGTAGGTAGCCTTTCTCTGTAATCTTTTACAATTTATGATTTTTACTTATTGAATACAGTAAAAAATTGCATATTTTGCTTGTGGTGATTCATAATTAGAATTCTGATTTGAATATATTTTCCACTCGTTGTTTCTAATACAAAAATATTAACTTTATTTGGGTTTATTAATTTATTACAAGTACTGTGTTCTTTCCTTAATAATTATCATCTTGAAATATTGTTGTTTTTTTGTCTATCAGATTTCTTACGTCGGCATTTTTAAATTATTTCTTAATACTTTCTTTTAAATATTGAATTAATTTCAAATAGAACCAATGCCTTTTGATCTGCCTTGTAACAAATTGCAAAGGGAATTGTAAAACGGCCCTAAAGTATGTGGAATTATCTTTCCCTAAAGATAAAGAATTATCCGATTTTTCGATTCGTACAATCAGTAGAGATCGTTAGATTATTGTTTAGGTTGACGGACACACATGTCTTAGTTTTTTTTTTTTTTTTTACGAATTGGTCAAACCCAAACTCAAACAAAAACATTGTTTTCAATCGTTATGATGAGTCCCACGATTGAATAGAATTAGAATTTTATTATAAACAATTGTCTTGTAAATGGAATTTTTAAAGCATTCTGAATGTATAAATAAAGAAAAAAGTATGCAAGACAATAAGAAATACTACCTGCCAAAAAAAAAAGTGGATGTTTGTTTTATCGGCTGAAAAATGTAAGAAATCTGATCCCATATATAAAGGAACACACACACACACACACACACACAACCTGGGTTTTTTAACCTAAGTCACTCCACGGAATCACTAAAACATAGAGCATAGTCAGATGAAAAAGACGCCAAAAGTTTATGAAAACAAAATTTTATCGTCAAAATGCTTATGTTTTTTATGAAGAGGATAGACTAAATTTTTTTTAATTATTTTTTAAAATTTTTCCATCTTTTGGAATATTCTAAATTTTGATTTAAAAACCTTGTTTCTCTTTGTCGCAACAAGGGGTAGTAAATAACATAGATAATTTTTAGTGCGTTTTTTGTATTTACACACATTAATTTGGAAAAAAATAATTGTCAGATGTTAATGAAACTTTCAGAAACTATTCACAGATGATCGAAATTATTATAAATATGTTTTTTTTATTAAAGTCATGGCAGAAATATTTTTTTTTATATTTATTAACACCCCCATAACTAATTTTATGAAAAACTCTAGAAATTCGAGACCATTGGTTTTAGTGATTACAAAAAAGCACAAGGCTTTGAAGAATGCAAATCATGTTTTTTTTGGGTTTTTTTTTTGGCCAGCGTACCTGAAAATCAGCTGTGAATTGTAACATACAAAACTCAATAAAACAAATATATTATTAGTTTCAAATGCTTTTATTTGTTTTAATTTGTTTTTATGAATATGGACAATATTTTCTGAAAGCAAAAAATTTTTTCAATAAAAATTGAATTTTTAATACGATTATTTCTTATTTCTTTAATTTAAAAAAAAATTTTTAAATTGAATTTTTAAAAATATTTTAACATTAGTTAAAAGCAACATCAACCTTTCAAAATGTCCGTGTGAGATTGTCATTGTCTAGCGCTTTGAAAATTGTATAATTTGGACCAATCAGATTAGCCATGGTAATTAAGAAATGTAATTTATGAACATTAGACAATAAAATTTTGTTTTCGTTCGGCTTTTTTTTCATCATGCTATGCTCATTTGTTTACATTTTCGTGGGTGAGTTGTCCCCCTTTCATTCTCACGATGTGTCTTAATTGTGTTTTCAAATTGATTTTCTTAAAAAACAATTGTGTTTTTCCCATTTTCGGCGCGGTTAGAACCACCACAAGGTAATTTTATGTAGTCCTGTGAAGTTTTGTTGAAATCGGCTAAAAAATGTAGGAAATTCGATCCAATATATAAACGTTACAGACACACACACACAATCTGCGTTTTATAATAAGTAAGATTTAAGTATTATTTGTTTTATTATTTAACTTGTTTTATTATAAAAAAAAAACACTTGTCATTGCTTTTCTAAATAATTTAAATAAATTTACCAAAATCCCTAACACTTGCACAGTAACTGAGACAAGTAAGATCAGTAAAACAGCTGTTAACTAAGTAAGCTTCTGTGCATGACTACTCCAAGATAAATGTATGTAAACATTGTCAGTAATGGCGGACAGACCCAACGCGAATGAGTCTGAAATTTTATTGTTGGTGTAATGAATATGCATACCCCTGGGTTCCCCCTTACAGTAATATGACTGGCTGGTGTCAGCCATAAATACAGACTGATGTGGAGATACAGGGGATGCCTATTGCCTATGCCTATTGCCTACCACTACGATGAGGACCAGTCCATTACGGTTACCTGCTAGATTGTCCTAGTCGGTTACAGTAGTCCAAAATCACTTTGCTACTTCGAACAAATATTTCCCTTTCCAGGACATATCAGTTGATAACTCCAAAATGGTAGATTTTAGTAAAATTTCTTTGTTATTTGTTAATTAAGCATGTAAATTTACACCTAAATGTAACTGTTCGGAAAATTTTTACTAGAAACTGAGCACGGGGATTACACCACAAATTACCCACTTGTTTTGTGGTCCATTTAGATGACCAAAGCTAGGAAGCCAATCTCTCGTCTGATCTATAGCTCTTTGTGCCTCATGGGGCAAAAACTGGTTTGTAACTATTCAATACTTCAAAATCAAAGCTAGCAACTTTTTGTCATCTTATCGGCTTCCCCCAGCTTACAATAACTTCTTTTGATGAATCTGTAATTTAATTTAACCTGAATTAAGAATCTCTGGAACTATTTAATTTCTGAAAACTAATTTTCTTAGTTCTTTTGCCACATTTAATTCCAACAATCATTCAACTCAATCATGCCTTCTCTCACGTCCCACATCAATACAACAAACTGAGTCTTTCTACATTTATCAGTTCACTAACTACTGTCAAGCCTCCTTGGGTACTTTTGTGACTTCACTTTCCCTGCAGGAGAGAGTTGCCATTTGCTTTGTCAAATAGGTACAAACAAGTGACTAAATGTATTTATTTTCTTTTTAAAATCAACTAATTGCTATTTCCATGAAAAATGTTCTAACCAGCTACATTCCCTTGTTCCACCAGTTCAGACTTTTCACAGCTAAAACAGCTATCACAGTGCCATATACACAGGGATGAAGCATCCTCATTCCCTCTGTGTTCCATTAGTAAGTAGGAAGTTCTATATGAGGAGCTTCATCTTAAGACCCACTGCTTTGTGGAGCAGACTCCCAAGAGGATGCTTCCTTGATCACTACACTATTGACCACTTCAAGTCTAGGGTCAACCATTACCTATCCTACATATTCTCATATTCTGCATTTCCCCTTTCATACAACAACCTCAGTTAGTAAGCTTCTGCCTTGAGTGGCTCTTGGGCCTTGTATTAGGTAAATGCTTAGTAAAAGAAAAAATTTATTCTAGTGACAATGCATCACTAGGCTATACTTAGTAAAACATTTTTATAATTGGCTCACTGGGATATATAGTTCAAAAAGATAATATGCAATTTTCTTCAAAAATGTTCATAAAAACAAATCCTGGAAGATAAAAGGTAATTAATTTGATGCAAGCAAAGCTACTTATTTGAAAATTGTTTTTTCTTCTCCACCTTAAAAAAAGTATTTCTCAACCAATTCTCCAGTACGTTTACAAGCGAGAACTTCGTACATTTGAGAGGAATGGGAGAAAGGTGTTTGTGATCTTGGCTCAGAGTGTTCAAGACAAAGAAAACTTCCCTGAGAAATGGATGACCATTCGAGTAGAGGATTACCATCAGACAGTAACTATTACTGACGACCCATCGGGCGGAGTACAAGGTATGTATCTATCTTACAGAGAGCATCACATTTCAGCAAGACTCTATTTTCCCTTTTAAGGAAAGCATAATTCCTTATTCAAATATTTTTCTCAAAAGCCTGTATCCAAAATGTAAACAAAGCAATTTCTAAAGAATTATTGGATTTATTTTTAATCCAACATTTTTATTATGTCAAAAGTTATTATAGCGGACGTCAGACATCAAAACCAACAAGAGAATCCACCCTGTCCATATATATGTATATATATAATTTCTTAGGAATTAATGGATTTAGTTTTAATCTGACGTTTTTATTACTTCAAACATTATTATAGTGTGTATTTGAAATAGACATGACATTTTATTTTAAACAATGTGTATTACAACTATTGGTTTGCACATCTAAGCGATAAAGCATGCCGGATCAGATAGTGGTTTCTCCTACAAAGGGGGATGCAGGTTTGATTCCTGCCAGAAAGCACATTTTCTTTATTAAGATTTCTCGAAAGTGCAGGCCAATAGACGTAATATACACCGTTTAAAATAAAAATGGAAAATCTATTTCAAGTACATGTATCCACTATAAACTTTGAAGTAATAAAAATGTCATCTTAAAAATAATTTCATTAATTCTTTAGAAAAAAAAAAAACCTGCACCAATGAAAAGTGCATATAAAAAAGAAATATCAAGAAGTATATGCAGTCAATTGCTGATATCCCCTGATGAGTGAACAAGTGATTCCTGGAGTGTCTATGAAACTCTGGAGTCAGGGTGTTGAATGTAACACCAATCAGCTAAGTGACAACCCTTGAATTTTCTCTCTCTCTCTCTCTCTCTCTCTCTCTCTCTCTATATATATATATATATATATATATATATATATATATATATATATATATATATAATATTCAAATATAAAAAATGAAAAAACAAACAGATTTAGAATCCACAGTTCTCTGGCATTTACTTTTTAAAAAAAGTGCTCAATATAACATAGAGCAGAATATTTTTAATATCTCTATTAAAAATATTTTACATTGCGACACACAGTTTTTTTATCTCATCATCAGGCAATGTTCGGTAACTTTGGTGAAAATGATTTACATTTCATATATATATATATATATATATACTGAGGAAATTGTAAGACAAAAGGGAAAAAGTTTATATGTGACACATTTCATCTGTTAGGAATTCATTAGACTGTGTTTGTTGGTGTTGTTGTGACTACACATGAACGAAAGATGCTGGTAGTTTCAAAATTTTTAAAATAATTTTTGCAATCTAGCCAAATTCATCTATATTCTTTTTCTTTTAATCATCTTTGTTTTTAAATATCCCACTGTGGCTGAACTTGCGATTAAAGCACTTTCTAAACATAATTGTCTTAGTGAATTATTTTCTCTTTTAATTAGAATAGCATTTTTTATGTCAAAATTGTAGTCAGTTTCGTTACGGTGAACAATCAATGCATTTTGTGTGTTGTTTTTTAAAATGTCTCTTTCGTGTTCATATAGTCTTTTGTTTAAACTTGTGGTTTTGTGGTGACTAAAAAAAGAACAAGGTATTGTACTCACTGAGGGTAGGTTGGGAGGGGGAAGTATGTGCTCTGGCATCGTCGGCGTCGTCGTCTAAAATAATAATTTTTCTCCCAGACCGAACCAGGACCAAAGGATTGACGATTTTTATAGACGCTCTGGTCTCGTCGTATGACGTTGAACGAGACCTTGAATCACGTTGAATGAGACCTTGAGAGTTTAAAAGGTGCTACTTTCAGTCGCAAGTTCAGTTCTTTTTCTCTACAGATCCTTTGTAGAGCTCGCTTGTTACACAGAGGAGAGTGCCGAGTGTTACTAGTCATTTAACTTTTGTTACCGTTACGAGGAAGACTTCGCTTGTAAGCAACGTCAGACTTTTCATTGCAAGCCTTGAAACCGTCTTTCCTTTCCCTCCTCCCTTACTCGTCGGTGAGATAATCCCGACAGTTTCTCCAATATATTCTTTTTGGCAGTCCTCGCAGTTGATAGAGTCAATTCCTACTTCAAGCTTTGGCTTGTTTTGTTTTGTACTGATTAAGTCTTTTATTGTTTTAGATGTAGTTTTGACAAATTTTATGTTAAGTTCAGATTAATTATTTTCAGTTGTTGTGATAGAGTTAGCGTGTAGAATAATGTATTTTTTTGACTTGTTGGGTTTGTCAGAAGGAACAGCTTTTCTATTTTGGAATATTTTATTCGCCTTTTGTTTTGCATTGAATATGAAATAAGGTATTGAAGGGTCTTGAAAGTAATATATTTGTCCTCTTTGTGTAAATATTGAGGGCTTCTAATTATGAGAGCTCTTAAGTAGAATCCAATAATCATTCTGGATTTTATTTTGTTGTTATGATGGGAATAGAAGTTTATTAGGTCATTTTTAATAGTGGATATTCGGTGGACTATGTTTTAAGCTATTGTTAATGTGGTGTAACATGATATCTAAAAAAGGTAAAGTATTGCTTTCTTCCATTTCGTATGTAAATTCTATTGTATGTTCGACTTTGTTTAGTTTATCTACAAGATCCCGTAAGTCAGTATCACAGGAATATATTAATAGAGCATCATCAATATATTGGAAGTAAGTTGATTGTTTGGGTAAAATATTTTGGAAAGAAACAGATTCAAGAAATTCTAAGATGATACATGTCATCACTCCACTGAGAAGCAATCTCATTGGTAATCCAAATTTTTATTAGTAAAGATTATTATTAAATGTGAAATAGCATTGATTGGTGATGAGACGGAAGATTTTTATTATTTTAGCTATTGTTAGGGAGAGGTTTATCTTTGATTGTGTTAGATACCTTCTTAACATATTTAAGCATTTTTCAACCAGGACATTAATGTAAAGGGATTTTATATCTAAACTAGCCATAAGTTTGTCAGTCATATTTGTTTCCCTTAGTTGTTCAACAAGGTTGCCTGAATTATTTTTATGTGATGGATTTATTTTTCCAAGGAGAGGGATTAAAATTTTTGATATGGCTCTAGCTAGTTTGTGGGGGGTGTTATGGGTGCTACCCATTCTTGAAATGATGGGGCACATAAGGGTACCAGTTTCGTGGTTCTTAGTGAGACTGTAAACGTTAGATGTTCTAGGGTGATATTCTATGAATCTAAACTATAATTTGTTTTCATTTTTAATTAGTTTCCTGATTTCCTTATTGAATTTTTGTGTTTCAATAGTTTTTTTATTTTTTTTTTCATTTGTCAAGAAATGAGTTAATTATTTAAAAAATTCTTTCAAACAATTTTGAAACTACCAGCATCTCTTGTTCATGTTCATGTGTAGTCATAGCGTCAACGAAATGCATCGCAAATAAACTTTTTCCATTTTGTCTTACAATTTCCTTAATACTGTTCTTGATATATAAGAATATATAACATTATCTCATATATACATACATATATATATATATATACATATATATATATATATATATATATATAGGGCAGTTGTTTGTATATGTGTGTGTGTGTCTGGCTAAAACTAAAAAACTACTATAGTTTATGATAAAGTAAATAAGTATACAGACTCATTATCACCCAAGCCAGTTTTTTGTAAAAAAATTATCGTATGATTTGTATTTATGAAGATGCTTTAAAATTAAATGCATTAGAATGCATTTGAAATTCTCAGAATTAAAAAGTAAAAACGAACAGTAAGAATTCTTATTCTCAAATCAGATTACTGTTCATTTTTACTTTTTTATTCTGCTAAGGGCTATCCATGTATCTATTTTTAAAATTTCTATTCTCTTGAATTTATTTTCACATCTATGGTAAATAAAAGTATAACTTTAAAGAAATCAATATTAAAACAACAAAGTAAATTTAAAAGAAGAAGAATATTAAATACAATTGTTTGAAAAAAAGTTAAAACATCTAAATAAAGTAAATAAACTAAATTAAGATATATTTAAACATATTTAATTTAATCATTTTTTAAAGCAAAAACTATAGCAAGCCTTACTTCTTTGAAAAATAATTATTTACTATTTATTTTGGAGGGGATTATTATTAATACAAAACTAAATAAGCATAAATTAAGAATTAAAGATATATTTAAACTTGAATTTATTTTCACATCTATAGTAAATAAAAATGTAACTTTAAAAAAATGAATATTAAAATAACAAAATAAATTTAAAAGAAGAAGAATATTAAAATACAATTATTTGACAGAAACTTTATGTACCTATTCAAGTGTGTGTGTGTGTCCGACTACAAATAAATATACAGTCAAACCACCCATTAACAGACTTCGGATGCAACGGACAAAATCAGAAGGCAAAATAAAAAAATAATCTGCAGGCAAAAAACTTGCAAATCGTCAGTGATGTATTTAAAAAATTGCGGGCTTAGCGGAACAAGACTTATTAGTTCTCAAAGTGACCACTTGGTGGCAGGCCTTTCAATTGTAAACAAAGACGGAAAGTACGATACATTAGTGCATGCATGAGAAAGTATCTTTGAGAAATCTATTATTTTTGTTATTTTGCTTAATATATCTATATTAAGTATATATTTATTTATGATATATATACATGTTTATAGTATTTACATTATGAACATAACTACTGGTAGTTACTATAGTGGTTTTATAACTCAAAAATAACCCCTTCCTATCTATGGACAATCAGCTTTAACAGATTCTTATTAGTCTGTTGATGAGAAGTTTGTCTGTATATATAGACTCAGTATTACCCTAAAATGCAGTTGTTTGTATATGTGTGTATATTATTGACTTATTAATTTTTTTCAATCATCTTATGAAAAATAATTTTTTTTATTCAATATTTAAAAAATAAACTTCATTGTTTTTTTTGTTTGCATAAAAAAGTAAATAATTTTCAATTAAGTTTTATTAAAGCAAAAATCTGTAGTGAGCCTTATTTTTTCGAAAATTAATTTAAATAAAATATAGTTAAATTTGTAAAACAAATATTCAACACAACTAATGTTGACCATAAGTCAAGT